AGGGATGTAAGTGATGAGGAATTTGAGCACTCTCTACCATGACTTCTTTAATTTTTATTGTGATTTCGGTGAAAATTTACACAGCAAATTCATTTTCCATATAGCAGTTCATATACATTTTGTGTTATGATATTAAATTCAATTTCCCACAATGCAACAGCTCCCCTCCAACCTCCTCCAATGGTTACCTCTTCCCTGTGTCCTTCCCTCTCATGTACTCCTGCACCCCAAGCTGTCTCCCTATGCATACACAGCCCTTCTATTTTCCCATGATTGATCTCTCCAAGGAGTATATCTATCTACCTAATGGAAATGTTCAGCTCATACACCTGTCTTTTGTTTAGCTGGAAGCCACAGGTGTGGGTTTGATTTCAGACCTGAATGGCAGCTAGGGGCCATAGTCTCAAGGGTTCTACCAGGCTGCATGAGACCATCAAACATGGTCCCCCCCACCCATTTTTATCAATGATTTTGAGTTTTATTCCACATTGTTCTCCCACTCTACCCAGGATCTCCTACGTAGATCCCCCTCCAAATGGTAGCCAGGCATCCACCATGATTTCTGATCTAGCATTTTCCATCTTATTATTCCAAGTCTCTACTTGCTTACTTTGAAAAAGAAACCTTCAATTGGGAACCAGAAGCTCCAAAAGTAGCTGTGGCAAAAACTGCTAGTTTCCCCCAGTCTCTGTTCCCTCTTCTTCCTTGGACATAGGACCCCTGACTTTTAGCTGGGCTCAACAGACCATAGTTACTAGCTACTACTGCAGCTAAGTGTGGACAACGGGACATAAGAAGAGGCGTCTGGTGCAATTTCTAAGAAGTGTCCTTAGAGGGAAGGGGCATGCCCATCCTCTCACTTTCTTCTTCCAACTGACTGAAAAGCAGACAAGATGTCTGCCTCAGGAGCCATCTTGGATGATGAGGTAGAAGTCACGTGCGAAGGTGGCTGAGCAGCTGGATAGAAGGAGTGTGCGTTCCTGATTAAGTGAAACGCCATGCCAGCCCTGAGCAGACTGTAGTCTTCTTTTAAATGAGCAATAAATTAACTCTCATTCAAGTCATTGTTATTTATTCTGTCACATGTAACCAAATTTAATCCTAATAAATACAGTAGCTGAAAGGAGAAACCAGAAATCGAGGTGACCAACTACCTTTCTGAGGCAGTAGAGCACAGTGATTAAGGCATGAACTCTGGAGCTAGACCACTTGGGTTCAAATCTTGCCTCTACCACTTATTATCTGTGAGACCATGATAAGCTGGTTATACTCTCTGCCTCAGTGTAATCATTTGTAAAACGGGAATAATAATGGTAGCCACTTTAGAGCATAGTTATGAGGATTAAATGTGGTATTATTTATGAAGTGCTTAAAATAGTACCTGGCATATAAGTGGCTTGTAATCAGCTGCGAAGCTAAAAGTTGGTGGTTCAAACCCACCCAGTGGCTCCACAGAAGAAAGGCCTGGCAGAGTGCTTCCGTAAAGATTACAGCCAAGAAAACTCTATGGAGCAGTTCTACTTTGCAACACAGGGGGTTTCCAACTCAATGGCAGCTAACAACAACATACAAGTATTTGTTAAATAAAATAAATACACCTCCTCCTCACTTATCAACTATCTCGTTATCTGACATTCTGCAGTTACAAGAATAGTAAAAAATCTCCTATCCAACTATTTTGTGCATTAACACTATGCCTGTGCGGTGTAGTAAATTACTTAGTGTGGCTTTTCTACCCATAAGTCTTTGTAAACTCCAAGGTGGGATTTGTTATGAGCAACTGAGGAGCTCCTGATTGCTAAAGTTGTCCACCTGGAGTATTTCTGTTGGGAAGGGCACAAAACAATGTTCTGGGAGGTTCCCACTCTCTCTCAGGTGCTTAGAGTTCTGATGCTGTGATTGGCTCGTTTGGCCACTCCGCCAGGCTCAAAAGGAGGCCTCCTAGAGGCAGAACTCTGACTGCTGGTTGAGGAAGACATGCTGCTGAAAGAGACACATGCTGCTGGGAAAGAGACGCAAGAGACAGGCATTGCTGAATAAGACTCTGAGGGACATGCACTGCTGGGGGAGAGACTGTGAGAGACTCAGCTGAGAGACAGCAGGTTGGGGAGAGAGACTGAGCATTTTTCCTGAACTCGAATTGTAACCTGGTGCTTCCCTAATAAACCCCATAATCTGTGAGTTCTGTGTAGCCACTGCAGTGAATTATCAAACCCAGAAGAGAGGTGGTGGGTGCTTTGGGAGGAATGGTTGGTGAAAGGCCTGGAGGGAGGCAGCATGTCTGGCCTTGCAGTAATAGGCCTTGGGCTATTGACGGTGATTCCGCCTTCCTCTTGTGGGGTTCTAAGAGGTCAAAATATGTGGCCTCCTTGTCCTTTTTGCAGCCTGGCAGTGATGGGACATATAAGGCCCACTTAAATTTTTGACTTCTTGGGTCCCTCGGGCTGCCAATGCCCCACTTATAGTACGTGCTGTTGTCTGATTGGTGAAAAGCCAAGTCCCACTTACATTCTTTGCCTCAGTGTTCTTGGGATACTAGTATCCATTTATGATATATGTGCTAGTATCCATTTATAATATATGTGCTGCCATGTGTAGGCGACATGCATAAAAAATAATTAGGTCCATTTTTGCATAACAGTGATTTTCACGTAACGACGCAGTCTTTGGAACTTAACCATGTCAGTAAATAAGGAGTGGGTTTAAATACATTTGGAGCAGGACTAAATATGACAATACCAACTAAAGTGAATCTGTGGACCAGTATGACCCACCAACAGCATTTAGAAAGTGACCCTCTGCTCTAAATTACATTTTGTTCAGTGGCAGCGAGATGGTTACATTATTTAGTTTTGTTAGGGCATCTGTGTTCTGACTTCCCCTTTACTAAAGGATAATGTCCAGGAAATTTTAGAGATGGGGATCCTGCAAATCACCAAGAACATACCCATGGTCTCATAGTGGCTAAAGCACTTGACTGCTAACCCGAAGGCTGGCAGTTCAAACCCACCAGCCACTCCTTGGAAGGAAGGTTGGGCAATCCTACTTCTGTAGTGATACTGCCTCGGAAACCCAAGGGGGGGTCGCTATGAGTCGGGGCCAACTCGACGGCACATAACAATAACAACAACCATTCTCTGTAGTCTATGTACTGAGGTAGTAGGGCTTTACCTGCCAGGTAGAACAGAGTAATCATATTACTTTCAACTGTCAGAACACCAGATCCCTCCCTTCTCAGCTGAGCTGACACACTTCCAACAGAGCTGTAATGGCCTCATGAAAGAAGAACAAAAATCTTCCTCCTGCTCCTGTCAAAGATAGTATTAGCCCTGTCTTACACTATCTGGTTCTCAAATAAAAAAGATGAAAGCATCTTGCTAATATTCAGGCCTCTCAGCACCCACCTTTCTTTGCTCCTAGAAGTAATGGTTCCCCTTTCTGTTTAACTCACTGCTGCTTCTTTTGAGAGCAGAATTTCACTATGCCTTGGAAAGACCTTCTTCTGAAACTTTCCCCAACTCACTTCGTGTTAACTGAGTTGATGGCAGAATTGCTCTTGGGTTCTTGTTAATGATTCCGGGATGACTCCACATCTGGGAGAATAACCAGCATTTAATGAACCTGACCAAGAGCTGTAAGCTACAGCCCATCTTGGCCACTCAAGACTCCTCTATCAAAAACAGCACTAACCTAAAGAGTTAATACAGGAAAGGTGCAGGGAAAGTTTGAGGGAACTTTGATACCTGTCATTTTAATAATTACAACAATAATAAAATTTTCAATCAACCAGCCTGGCATACCTGAAAACTCTTGAGAGGGGAAAAAAGACTTGATATTTTTTGATCCATTGTTCTTCTAATAGTAACTCTGGTGGCACAGTGGTGAAAGCACTCAGCTGCCAACCAAAAGGTTTGCAGTTCAAACATACCAGTAGCTCCATGGAAGAATGATGTGGCAGTCTGCTTCTGTAAAGATTTACAGCCTTGGAAATCCTATTGGGCAGTTCCATTCTATCCTATAGGGTTGCCATGAGTCAGAATTGACTCAATGGCAGTGGTTTTGGGTTTGGTTCTTCCAATGACACCTGGTTTGATCTGAATCTGGTTTGATCAGAGTGCCTGAAATTCTTCCAAAGTTATGAAAAGGATAAAGGTCACTAATCTTCCAGCTGCTCTGGTCATTCCATGTCTGGGGTTCCATCCCAACCCCCTTTATACACATGCAGGGGACAAAATAAAGGTCAGCAAACACTCTGAGTAGCTCGAAAGCAAACTGCTGATAGTCCTAGGAAATAAATGAAAGGAAAAGGCAGCTGACGGTCTAAAAGCATTTGAATCCGTTCCCAAAAGTGAGCAATAACCAGGACAGCAGCTTCCAGGGCAGATGAAACTGGTGAGTCCACCCACTCCATCATCAATTTCTGCCAAGAAAGGACCTGGGACAGTCGTGCAAAACATTCCCACAACACAGAAGGCTGGAACTGAATCTTCAAGAGCCCTTGAAGGCTCACCTGTCCTCCTAAATGAACAGGGACACACTGGTTTGGTACAAAAAAGAGAACAGGCCCAAAGCTTCAAGGCTGTATGCAAGGGCCGAGTAGTAGTCCCGATAGTTATACTCCCACTAGTACCGCACCACCCCCAGCACCTGGTAAGAAACCTACTATAAACCAGTATCTCCCAGCATAGCTCTGCCCCCACCACACCACTGGCCCCCTCGCCTGTATCTGGTCAATTTCCTCTTTTCATTTTCTGCTCATCCTTCCCCCCTCCCAAATAGGTTCTGATTTATTTCACCATTCCCCTGAGTTTCCCCATCTCCAGTCCTGCGTAGCAACCCAAAATTGTGCCAGGGGCACCGCACTATTAAGCATCTTCCTTTTGCAGCTTTCAACTCCTTCTCCCTCAGACTGTGCGGAGCTCCAAGCTCACCTGAACGGGCCCCCAGAACCCCACCTGCCTAGAAGCCCAAGGCTGTAGTCCCCACCCCACCCCTCTCACCCCCTGAAGGTCTTTGACGAAGTAACTTCCGCTGGAGCCCTGGTAGATGCGCTCGGGGAAGATGCAACGCTCGATAGCCAGCTCGGCCTGCCGCACCACCGCCTCGAACTCCGGGTCCTCCGGGAACTCATTCCGCTCGCGGTGGGCTTGCGCAGCGTGCGCGGCTACCGCGGCCTGGGCGGCCAGAGCTTGGGCCTGCGCCGCCACGGTTTGGGTCTGGCACTGAGCCGCCGCGCCCCGAGCCCGATCCAGCAGTGGCTGCCGCTCCCGGTCGTGGCCCGGCGAGCCCTGCGGAGAAGGAGCCGAGCCGGCTGGAGCCGCCACTCGGACCGCAGCCCCCGGCACCTGCGGAAAGTGAGCACTCGAGCCCGATGGGAAGGTGTAGTCCGGGGGTTGGGCCCGCTCGGGGGACACCAGTGGGCTAGTCTCGTCCATCCCTCAGGCCACGGGCTCCGGGACCCGGGGCGCACAACACAGCTGAGCTTGTGGCCCGGACCAATCCGCGGCACCCCCCACCTCCGTCTGGCCAACCAGGTCATGGGCCTCCGTGGCCCCGCCCCTACCCTTCCATGTTTACTTGGCGTCAACTAGACGAGATCCCTAGCGCTCCGACGGTAGCCAATCAGAACTAGCTTCTACGTTACGCTCCCTCCGCAATTTTCTCCCGTCACGTTCTGTGAATACTGCGCAAGCTCTAGCAGCCAAACCAGGGTCAGACACGCCCTCTGCCCTCTACCATCCCATGCCCCGCCCTTAGCTTACAATTGGCTGACCCGCATTTGGGAGCTTTTAAATGCAGTAACCTACGTGTCACCAAAGAGCACGTTCAAATGGCCACCAAACTCTAGGAGAAGTGTTTAGCATCATTAGTCATCAGAGGGATGCAAATCAAAACCATTACACTCCCACTAGTGTGGCTAAGATTAAATAAATAAATAACAAATGTTGGTGAGAATGTGGAGAAATTGGAAGCAACCCTTATCCATTGCTGGTGGGAATGCAAAATGATAGCTCCATTATGAAAAACAGGTTCCTCAAAAAACTAAAATAGAACTACCTATGACCCAACAGCTTGGCCAACTGGCTGGAAGAGATCCATATTTGTGCCCATTCCAAAGAAAGGTGATCCCACAGAATGTGGAAATTACAGAACAATATCATTAATATCGCACGCAAGTAAGATCTTACTGAAGATAATTCAGAAACGTTTGCAGCAGTATATTGACAGAGAACTTCCAGAGGTTCAAGCCAGATTCAGAAGAGGACGTGGAACAAGGGATATCATAGCTGTTGTCAGATGGATCTTGGCTCAAGGCAAAGAATACCAGAAAGATGTTTACTTGTGTTTTATTGACTATGCAAAGGCATTTGATTGTGTGGATCATGACAAATTATGGATAACATTGAGAAAAATGGGAATTCCTGAGCACTTGATTGTTCTCATGAGGAATCTGTACCTTGACCAGGAGGCTGTCGTTCAAACAGAACAAGGGGACACTATATGGTTTAAAATCAAGAAGGGAGTGCGTCAGGGTTGTATCCTTTCTCCACACTTATTCAATCTATATGCTGAGCAAATAATCCGAGAAGCTGGACTATATGAAGAAAAATGTGGTATCAGGATTGGAGGAAGAATCATTAACAACCTGAGATATGCAGACAATACATCTTTGCTTGTTGAGAGTAAGGATGACTTAAGGCACCTACTGATGAAGGTTGAAGAATACAGTCTGCAGTATGGATTACGTCTCAATATAAAGAAAACAAAAATCTTCACAACTGGACCAATGAGCAGCATCACAATAAATGGAGAGAAGATTGAGGTTGTCAAAGAATTCACGTTGCTTGGTTCTACAATCGATGCCAACAGAAGCAGCAGTCAGGACATTAGACGACGTGTAGCATTGGGAAAGTCAACTGTGAAGGAACTGTATCAAGTGCTGAGGAGCAAGGATATCTCCTTGAGGACTAAGGTGCGCCTGACACAAGCCATGATATTTCCAATTGCCTCGTATGCGTGTGAGAGCTGGACAATGAATAAGGAAGTCCGAAGAAGAGTTGATGCTTTTGAGTTGTGGTGCTGGCGAAGAATGCTGAAAGTACCATGGACTGCTGCTAAAAGAACTAACAGATCTGTCCTGGAGGAAGTGCAGCCAGAATGCTCCTTGGAAGCAAGAATGGCCAGACTTTGTCTCACCTACTTTGGTCATGTTGTAAGAAGGGACCATTCCCTGGAGAAGGATGTCATGCTTGGTAGGGTGGAGGGTTGACGAAAGAGGGGGAGGCCTTCAATGAGATGGATTGACACGGTGGCTGCGATGATGGGCTCAAGTATAACAGGGATTGTGGGGCTGGCGCAGGATCGGGCAGTGTTTCATTCTGCTGTGCATGGGGTCGCTATGAGTTGGAAACGACTCGACGGCACTTAACAACAACAACAACAACAATGACCCAACAGTTCCACTCCTACTATAAACCCAAAAGACTTGAAAGCAGGAACTCAAAAATAGACCTGTATACTAATGTTTATTGCAGAACTATTCACAATAGTCAAAAGGTGGAAACAACCTAAATGCCCATCCACAGATGTATGGATAAACAAAAATGTGGTACATACATGCAATGGAATCTTACTCAACCAGTAGAAGAAATGAAAGCTTCGTTCATGTTACAGTATGGATGGAGCTTAAAGACATTATACTGAGTGAAATAAGCCAATCACAAAAGGACAAATATTGTATGAGCTCACTTATATAAAAAGACAAGAAAAAGCACATGTATAAAGTTAAGAGTTTATTAGTGATTACCAGGGGTGGGAGGAAGGGGAAGAGAAGGGTTAACTGTGACAGAAAAATCACACTGATTAAGAGCAGATAGCACAGCTGATTATTGTAACTGCTGTCAGTAAGTTGTACATCTGTGAAAAGCTGAATTGACAAAAGTTGTGTGATATATTTATAACAGTGACAATAACAACAACAACAAAAGAGTAGCTGCTGATACTGCTTATGTACAACCAAACATCTCATGAGATTTGGTTCCTCAGTTTGAAGGTTTAGGGTTATGGTTTCATGGGCTATCTCAGTTAAATGACCTAATGTGATAATTAAGGTTGGGTGTCAACTTGTCTGGGCCATGGTTTTGAGGGGCTTGGCAGCTGGCTGTGGTTATTCCCCATGATGAGATTGTAATCACTTCCATGGTGGAATCTGCTGTAAGCACCTAATCAGCTGAAGGAGAGTTGCCTTTGGGGTGTGGCCTGCTTCTAGTATCTGTAGAAAAGCTTTGAGAAAGAGTTCTATCTTTTAGTGTATTTGGATCCTGTGTTTGGCCAAGTCTTCATTTCCAGTTCCTGGATTTGAGCCAGTGGCCTGCCCTGTTGCCTGCTGATCTTGGGATTGTGCCATTTTACCTGTCAAGTTTGGGTTCATCAGCTGCAGAAGCCTGCTGTGTGAGACAGAACAAGCTTCTAGCTTGCTCCAATGGGCCTGAAACAAGAGGCAAAGCTGAAGCCCAAGGTCGAGGGGCCTTCACCCAGCCCCTAGAGCCGGCACTCTGAATTTAGACTTCTAGCCTCCTAAACAGTAAGTGGGAGCTCTGGTAGCATAGTGCCTAAGGCACTTGACTGCTAACCAGAAGGCTGGCGGTTCAAACCCACCAGCCACTCCTCGGAAGGAAGGTTGGGCAATCCTACTTCCGTAGCGATACTGCCTTGGAAACCCAAGGAGGGGTCGCTATGAGTTGGGGCCGACTCGACGGCAAACAACAACAACAACAACAAACAGTAAGTGAATAAATAATAATAAATATTTGTGAAAGCACCCATTTGTGGTATTTCTGTGACAGCAGCACTAGAGAACCAAGACACCTAATAACAAGTTTAGTGCTTCTGTTAGACATCCTAGTTCATTGTGTAGTGCTTGGGGTCTTAAAAGCTTGCAAGGAACCATCCAGGGCACAACAATTGGTCTCTGTTCACCTGGAACAACAGAGGAAGAAGGAAAGTCAGGAATAAGAGGAGTAAAATAAATGTGTTACACTGCTATTCATAAGGTTTTCAGTGGCCAATTTTTTTTAGAAGTGGATGGCCTCATCCTTCTACCTATTCTTAGTCTGGAAGCTCCACTGAAACCTGTCCACCATGTGTGACCCTGCTGGTATCTGAAATACCAGTGGCATAGCTTCCAGCATCACAGCAACACACAAGCCACCACAGTAGGACAAACTGACAGATGACCGGTGGGTGTGGGTGTCAGGATTGGAGGAAGACTCATTAACAACCTGCATTATGCAGATGACACAACCTTGTATGCTGAAAGTGAAGATGACTTGAAGCAGATACTGATGAAGATCAAAGACTACAGCCTTCTGTATGGATTACACCACAACATAAAGAAAACAAAAATCCTCACAACTGGACTAATAAGCTACATCACCATAAATGGAGAAAAGACTGAGGTTGTCAAGGATTTCATTTTACTTGGCTCCACAATCAACACCCATGGAAGCAACAGTGAAGAAACCAAACCATATGGCACTAGGTAAATCTGCTTAAAAAAAACAAACAAACGTCTTCAAAGGATTAAAGAGCAAAGATGTCACCACTTTGAGGACTAAGGTACACCCAACCCAAGGCATGGTATTTTCTATAGCCTCATATGCATCTGAAAGCTGGACAATGAATAAGGAAGACCCCAGAAGAATTGATGCATTTGAAATGTGATGTTGGCAAAGAATACTGAAAATACCATGGATTGCCAGAACTAATAGATCTGTCTTGGAAGAAGTACAGCTGGAATGCCCCTTAGAAGTAAGAATGGCCAGACTTCGTCTCACCTACTTTGGTCATATTGTCAGAAGGGACCATTCTCTGAAGAAGGATATCATGCTTGGTAAAGTCGAGGAAGGGTTACACAGAGTCACTATACCAAAAAGAATTGGTAGATGATCACCCATTTCAGGAGGTGGCATATGATCAAGAACCAATGGTATTGAAGGAAGAAGTCAAAGCTGCACTTAAGGAATTGGTGAAAAACAAGGCTCCGGGAATTGACAGAATACCCATTGAGATGTTTCAACAAATGGATGCCCCTCTGGAGGCACTCACTTGGCTATGCCAAGAGATTTGGAAGACAGCTACCTGGCCAACTGACTGGAAGAGATCCATATTTGTATCCATTCCAAAGAAAGGTGATCCCACAGAATGTGGA